ATTTTTTATTTAACAATTATGTTAATCTCTCGAATCACAAACATATGGATTGAAATTTAGAAAAAAATTTAACAAATGAAAAGCAAAATTTCAAAAGTACCTGTTAAAACTACTTACTTACTGACTACAAACATTAGTGAAATATTTTGAATACTATTAGTAGGCAAGTATGAAAGATGTGAGTACACAAAACATAAAATAATTAAAGTCGGCATTGGTTCAGTAGCAAACACATTCAATCTGCAATCGCAACCACGTTTTTGAGTTACGTAAAATTATAAAAAATGTTAACGGAGGATTACAACATTTTTAAAAAAATGTATACTATTAAACCCATTTCCTGTTGTAATACCCCTTTAAGTTTACAACGGATAAAAACGGTTTTGATAAAACTACTGACCATCGATATCTTATCAGTTTTTTTAATATGGCTTCCGGTATGCAAATTATCTACAATCCGAAAATACAATGGTACTAAATATTTTAGATATACCTATATTATTACTTGTTAGATCTTTAATTGATTGAAGGCTGTAAAATGTTAATGTTACTTTACTAGCCAGAGATGGTGGCTAAAAATAGATTCAAATGTGTGATGTAGTGGTTAGAATTTGAGTTATGAATACTTACGCACTAACGCTTAGTATCTGTCTGCTTGGTTCACAGGATGATGAAGTATAATTTAAGTTATAAACAGCCTGTTTGATGCATCCAGCTCATCAGAAGACTAATGTCATATCGCAGGTTTAAATCTTATCGTGACTATCACTGTCTAGGCACACAACTATTATCGATAGTCGAAAGATGAATTTCATAATACGACCGTTTCAGTTATCTAATACTTTGATAATATTTTTAAAGTATTAAGCTGAAAACAAGTATATTCTCTATTCATTAGTAGGTTCAATATGTTAGCTATTTCAGCAACAGACAAATCATAGTGACATCAATTTAGCCTACTAAATTTTGCACAAGGAATGTACGAAAACTATTGATGTGTAAGCATTTCCAACATGCTGTATATTACTGCATATGTATTACTCATGCGTTACTGAGAAAAGTATCCTCTTAGCATTCAGTAATAACTAGGGATTAATTATTGCTACCATTACATATTAATTTTAACTTATTACAACCGACTTATGATTTGTTCAATGTTGAAATTCTGGTTAAGATAGAATGCAAAAAAATTGATTGAAATACTGAATCATTGATCCCTGAATATAAAGGTATGAACTCTATGAGAAGTACGAAATAATCGTCAAATAAACCAATGTCACCATTATTATTATTATTATTATTATTATTATTATTATTATTATTATTATTATTATTATTATTATTAAAAACAGCATTAATCGACAGTGCCACTAAAACTTACAGATAATGTTTCAAATTACAACAAAGCATCAGCGATATCCAATGGAAATCCTAATAGTTCTAATCTTGGTTGTTGAACTGCATTATCAGATTAAATTTATTTTAAATCGTTTGAATTTGTTGCGATTACATATGATGAGGTAACTGTTTATTTATCTGCCCAGAAATCGATTCCAAGTGGTCTATGATTTCGTAGAAAATCATGTAAATTACCATGGATAGCTAACTCGAGAAGAATGTGGGGCTGATCTGGAAATAGATAAAACAGAAATTTATTAAATAGTTTCATAATTGAATTACAATAATGTGCATCAACGTCTATTACTGCCATATGCATTGTCTACATAACAATAGCTTGATATTGTTGTTCAACCTTATATCTCCATAATGACTGGTGAAATGGCCAGTTCGAAAATAATTAATGTACACGACATATAATGCCTTACTCAGTGTACACTATCAGTTCGATAATTGTGATCTTAAGACAATTGTGAAAAGTAAGGAGGAACATAAAAACATATAGGTCCTGATAGGTTTTGATTTTACTTCCATCCAATGTGAAAACCCAAACCCCATCAAGTAATTAAATCGATTAGTCATTTACTTCAACGTATATGTATGGGAAATGACTTGCGGTCTCTACAGTAAAAACCAGTAACGTATTTTTGGCCACAGACTTTACATGAAACTAGTTTGAAGTGATCTTAAAGTTGTTATGTGCGCATAACATGGTCGAATTCACAACAGTTTATTTACTGCTGTTAATGATGATACTCTTATAAAAACCAATATATTTAAAATTTCGAACCATATTTTTGTTAAGTGTTTACTTCCTGATAACTACGATTAAAATCATCTACATAGTAGCAAGCATATTTGGATATTTTTAACTAAAATGAAGATGACAAAATTCACATAAAGTACATTATGACAACTTTGATAGTTTAGTGTATTGAAGCAAATATCCTCAATAGCTGGTTCGCCTAACAAAATAGTTAAGTCTACTTATCCGTGATAACTTATGTTCCGAAGTAACACTTGAATTTTGTGCTCTAAGTTCAACCATCGGTAAAATAAGCTGTAACAATAACAGTTCAAATAATACATATTGTGGTGTAGCGATTTGTCTTGTAATCAGAATTTTCAAAATTGAATAAAGTATGTGCATGCGCATTGATATGAATTGCAGTTTGATTTAGTTACTAATATCCCCTTTCAGTGTTTCGCTAGCGCAACTATACAGAGATAGAAGGGAGACTGTTGTATTTACCGAATTAATAGTAAAACTAATATGTAACAAAATCAGAGTAGCACAAGCATTGAATGTGAATTCGTGATCTTTGTTAAGTTAATAATTCAGTTACTCTTTAAAGCAATACTATGAAATTAAACTCTGAAATTAATAAAGCTAAGGAAAAGACAGGTTTATAGTTGCTACCATTTAGAGTAAGAGGAATCTGTGACTGATAATGTAGATTTTATTGACAAAATATTCATGCAAAACCACAATTTTTGTGATCGACTAGAGAAATTCTCATTATGGACATAAATACAAAGTATCTTATAAAAGATTTTCACTTTATATTCAGTTCAAACAAAACTAATGAACATCTTTGCCATTTAAAATCATTGATGAATAAACTATAGCGAACACACACACACACACCTTATAAACATTCTGAAATATATATATATATCCATTTCAGCTGTAAATACATATTCTTAAAAGATAACTTTAAAATCAAGTGGTACTTCTAAAAACAGATAAGTGGATAGACAAAAGTATTATGTTCCCAGAAATTAGTATCAACACTTTTATTGATTGATTCGCATTCATACACAAATAATAAAAGTTGTTTTTCTGAATTATTCATAGAGCTGTATTATAATTTCTCTTATTACGATCCAGCCATTCCTATTTCTTAATATTCCTGAACACCAATCAACTTGACAAGTCCCAAATCAGAACACAGTTGAACAGGAACGAAATTATATTCCAAATAACAAAGGTAGATGAGAATAAGAACCAAAATAAGAAAAACGTTAGTATATTTAGTGTTTACATGAGAAGATTTTGGAGTCTTCTCCAAGCATCCATCGGCGCTGATTAGATAAGAAATGACGAATTAGCGTTCACCAACACAGTCGTGCACGGAACGTGCTCCAATCCATTCTACATTCTGCTAAACCCCCTTTGGGCAGATTCGTAGGATCTGGTGCTAGAGTCCAACTGAAACCACGTGACTGGTCTGTGCTTTTGATTTGTTTATCGTCTAGGTAATAAAGAAGTGGTATCACTCTCTGCATGCACAGAAATTAGCCTGTTTGTTCTAGGAGTTTTGATTTCAAAGGTGTTTAGCAGAACGTCAAGAGGTATTCTATATCGAGTCTCGTCTGTGGCTATCAAAGTTGCTTTCAATTGATTAGCATGATGCGCACAAACTTCTGAGCCAACTGACACCTCATAAACTACATTCTCTTTCTTTTGTACGATTCAACTAGCTAATCATGTAGGATATTTTCTACGATAGTCCATAGCAAGTACTCTTTGACCCACCGTGAACAATCGTCTTTGTGCCCCATGATGTCAATTGAACTGCTTCTCCATCGATACGTTTCGTTGAGGCTCAAGAACCGGCGTTGGACGGATGACATCGAGATGTGTTCGTAATTTTTCTGTCAAGTAGAGCTTCTGCTGAAGAGACCCCATTAATCAACTGAGGGTTTGGTGTAGAGCGACAAATAAGCAGAAACCTCTCTAAAATCTCTTCGGTGGTCCCCTCCCACTTCGATTTTTCAGAACATTTTAAAATGTACCAAGTAAGCGTTCCACTTTATCAGTGGACTGGGGATGAAATGGAGGTGTTCGGACATGATTGATTCCGTTCTGCTGACAAAATTCTGAGAAGATAGAGGACGTAAACTGTGTACCATTGCCTCTAACTATCAATTCTAGAGCCCCCTGAATGCCCTGGTACGGCCGAGAGTGGGGAGAGTCCGCTCTCCCTCTCGAAATACTCTCACACGGCCACGCGTATATAGCCTCTGCCAGGGAAGTCCTACTCATTGCCTTCTCGTGGCGGGGGTGTTGTTTACGAAAATGAGAGGACGAGAAGCGAATGTCCGGCGCTTTAACCGGATTCCAAACCAATGGTGCACATGGGCTCCAGTATCCTGCGGGAACGAATGGCGTATGAACCAATCGTTGGTCACCGGCTACCATGGGACTGCATCTCCTTACGATGCTCCACTGCCTTGTGGGTTAGACCTTTAGGTCAAAGGCTCGGGGAGTGGCCCCCTAAGATAACCACCTGCTTCGGTTTGGGCACCCGGGCAGTATCACAGCCCACACACAAATGATGAACTGTTTATGTCTATGGAAACTACTTTTGTCGCTTTGAAAAACAATCAATTGATTCAAATTATGATCACTTCAATTATTGTCATTATTAATACTAATATTATTATTACTACTATTATTGTCATTATTGTTATTATTATCATTATTATTATTATTTTCCACATTATTCACCTTCTTTTATACTTATACAGCGGCTCGTCTTTGGTGGAATTCCGACTGTATCTAAACGTTCTCGAGTCACTGTCCGGTTGAAAATTGTATGTTACCACCGAATACGAGGACTGAAGCAGATTTTCTGAAACCACGTGCATCATTCAAACTGGCTGCCTTCAACGTTCGCACATTTATGCAGGTCGGACAACAGATAGGGCTGGCTATGTCTTTGGAAAGTCTTAATATCGACGTGTGTTGTCTATCCGAGACCCGTATTCAAGACTCTGGCGAAGTACTACAAATTCGATCTCCATCTGTCGCTTCGAAAAGCTTGTTTTACGTGCGCTTATCCGGGGACCCTGTGGCATCTTCGTCTGGTTTTGCTGGCGTTGGTGTCGCACTAAGCGCTAGAGCTGAGGCAGCACTAGTCGATTGGATCCCCATTAACAGTCGGTTATGTGCTGTTAGATTAGAAAGTTCCACCAAAGTGAGAAGAAATCGGCGTGAGAAACGATGTCTTTTCGTCATCTCCGCCTATGCCCCGACAGATTGCAGCCCGGATGCAATCAAGGATGAGTTTTACCACCAGTTATCAGTTCTTCTCCAGAAAGTGCGTTCGACAGATATTGTAGTACTAGCCGGAGACTTGAATGCTCAGGTCGGGCGTCTAGGCACAGAAGAGAGTCGTTTAGGTGGCCGATGGGGACTCGTTGGTCGCAGGTCAGATAACGGGGACCGTCTACTGCAACTTTGCGCAGACCACAACCTGTTTCTGGCTAGCACTAACTTTCGGCACAGTCATCGCCGATGTGCCACCTGGCGTCCTCCCTCTGCATCTCAAGCCTGGACTCAGATTGATCACATCGCGATCAGCTACCGCTGGCGTGGTTGTGTACAAGACTGCCGCTCCTTTTGGAGTACCTATCTGGACTCTGACCACGCCTTGGTCTGCGCCAATCTTGCCTTACTTTTCAGTGGACAACGAAGTGAACGCCATCAACGGATTGATGTTAGCAAGCTGGTTGCAACTTCTGTTGCAAGTAAGTATCGAACCGAGCTAGCCTCTAGGCTAGCTACCACTCCACCGAAAAGTATAGATGAGCATTGGTTGCAATTGCATGACGCCATGAAAATGGCGGGTACAGTCAGTTGTGGGTTTGCGAAACGTCCCGCTTTTAAGCACTGGGTTTCTTCTGGTTCCTTACAACTCATTGAAGCCCGTCGGTCTACTCCGGGTAACCGTGAGTTTGACCATAAACGAAGGTTTTTACGTAAGGAAATCGGGCAAAGCTTGCGTAAGGACCGAGAAGCCTGGTGGTCGATGCGTGCTAATGAGCTGGAAGCAGCAGCTGCATCTGGTAACTACCGGAAGCTCTTCCAACTCATCCGAGCCACTGGCAGCAAGAAGTCTGGTGTGAGTGAAACAATCTGCGAGGATGATGGGATGCCAATCACTAACATCCATCGACGTCTTGGACGATGGGCAGAATTTTTCGAAGGGCAGTTCAACTGGCCTGCTGCTCCGGTAACATCGGTCAGACTGTCCTGCCCTCCATGGCCGGTGACGACTGATCCACCAAATGAGGAGGAAGTCCGCAAGGAACTCCAACTCTTGAAGCGTTACAAATCACCTGGCCCAGATGACTTACCTCCGGCTCTTTTTAAAGATGGTGGTGACTTTCTGACTAAGGAATTGACGACGTTGTTTACAAAGGTTTGGGATCTAGAGAGTGTACCAACGTCATGGAATGAGTCGATAGTTGTCCCTATCTTTAAAAAGGGTTCACGTCGTTCTTGTAACAACTATCGGGGGATAAGTTTACTTCCGATTGCGTCCAAGCTATTGGCTTCCGTCATTCTTCGTAGGTTGTTCAAAACCCGAGAAAGATTGACTCGCGAGGAGCAGGCTGGGTTTCGTTCTGGTCGAGGATGTATTGATCATATCTTCACCCTCCGCCAAATGTTAGAACACCGCCATACTTTTCAAAGGCCAACAATCGTTGTGTTTCTTGACATCAGGGCTGCCTTCGATTCGTTGGATAGGACTGTTCTCTGGGATTGTCTATTGAAGAAGGGTGTGCCTGAGAAGTTTATTAACATCCTAAAAGCCCTGTATAAAAACACCTCAGGCAGAGTGAGGGCATACAACCACCTCTCTCCATTGTTCCATTCGAGCAGTGGGATTAGGCTGGGTTGCCCAATCTCACCATTCCTCTTCAACTTTGCCATCGATGACATTCTGGAAACAGCTCTGATGAATGTAAGTAATGGTGGTGTGGATCTGTTGCCTGGAGAAAGACTTCTCGACCTTGAGTATGCGGACGATATTGTCTTACTGTGCGATAATGCCCAAGGCATGCAATCCGCACTTAATCAGTTGGCAATCAATGTCCGTAGGTATGGTATGTGCTTTGCACCTTCGAAGTGCAAAGTACTTCTACAAGACTGGCAGGATCCCAATCCTGTACTCACCCTGGATGGTGAGCAGATAGACGTAGTTGAGAAGTTCGTGTATCTGGGTAGCTGCATAAGTGCTGGTGGGGGTGTGAGTGATGAGATCAATGCACGAATAGTGAAAGCCAGAGCGGCTTATGCCAATCTGGGCCACCTTTGGCGCCTTCGTGATGTCAGTCTGGCTGTAAAAGGCCGGATCTACAACGCGTCGGTGAGAGCAGTTTTGCTCTATGCTTGTGAAACCTGGCCTCTCCGAGTTGAGGACGTTAGACGACTCTTTGTGTTTGATCATCGCTGTCTCCGAAGGATTGCTGACATTCAGTGGCAACACCATGTTAGTAATGCAGAGGTTCGGCATCGTGTGTTCGGGCACAGAGATGATAACTCAATTGGTGTCACCATCTTGAAACACCGACTTCGGTGGCTTGGACATGTTCTCCGAATGTCGTCCCAGAGAATTCCACGTCGTGCATTATTTGCCGACTCTGGGACTGGTTGGAAGAAGCGGAGAGGTGGTCAGTGCATGACATGGTGTCGTGGCATGAAAGAAAGCTGCAAAGGACTGGCTTGTGTTGGTCCTTCACGACTCCCTGGCTGGGGTCCGAGAGATGGTGCAACACAGTGGCTAGAGACGTTATCAGATATGGCTCAGAATAGAAGCCAGTGGCGATCCTGCTGTAACCTTCTTTTACTTTCTTCATAAAAAGTGGTTGTGTCTCCTTTACCTGAAAGATTTCTTCTGATTGTACCTCTTCGTCATTACTCTCTTTTTCTTTTGCGTTCCTTAGTTTTTTTTTTTTTCTTTTTCTTTCTACTTCTCTTCGAATTCCCATTGTTTTGTGTGGCGCATATATATTGGCGCTCTCTTGTACCAATATTTATGTGTTCAAATAAATAAATAAATAAAATCAATTCTAGAACCCCGAAACGACTGAATAGTTGACGTAGTTTTCTGACTGTGCAGCATGCAGTTGGATGTCTCATGAAAACAACTTCTAACCACCCGCTTATACATCAACTACTAGAAGTTAACTTTGTCCATGAAATGGACCAGCAAGATTCAAATTTATACACTGACACAGAAACCTTGCACCTGTCTGTTTTGCAAGTAAAGGAATGTCGAATGATGATGCTTATTAATCCTTAGTTTATTAGAGCAGTATGTCTCTAAAGCAAAACATTGTTATTTCGTTTTTCCCAGATAATTCGAAGTTTACCTGTAATTTATGGTGACTTTAAGTTAATGTTTAAAATTTCGTTAATGTTATTAATTTTATTGAGGGTGTTTATTGTAACGTGGAGTACTATTATGATGATTAGGAGTATTTGAATTATAGTATGAACTAAGAATCCCAGAAATAACGTAATCGGATCAAGAAGTACTAGATAAGCACAAACGAATGTACTGTATTTGGAATTCGAAATCAAGCATTCAACAAGTACAAGGGATTTATTAATTTATTCAAACACCACAATTATATTTGGGAATTGGTTGAAAATTATGGTCTAAGAATCACCAATGAGATTATACAATAATCTTTGGTTAGACGGTACTTTCGTGTCAATGAACTCACTTCACGGATGATTTAAGATGGAGAGCATTACTAAAATATAGTAAAATGACTAACCAATTAGTATAACATATGGCGACTAATTTGGATTGATGTGCTTTCAACTTACATATATACAACCTACTATTATTAACACTAGGACCCATTTTTAAACGCGTTTAGTGGTTTGGAAAGTCTATATTCGTACACCAATGCGAAATTCTCCTAACCGTATATATTATTAAAACGAAACCCACTTCGCTCTGCATTTTTCCACACTGTATATATCAACAAGACATCCCTTAATCTCTTTTTATTCATTGTGTAGTGACCTACTTTTATCAAGAGAACGCGATTGGTGTAATGGAAACAATTATTATTATAACCAATTGTACCAGGGATTGTTTTACCGTACTTGTTTGTTTAACTGTACCAAAATACACACATTCTTCCCTTGCTTGTGACCTTGCACGAATTCTGTTACGCTCAGTAACCACACTTGTAACCTGGCTCGATCTCGGTATTCTTTCGATACCACGAGATCGCCAACAACTACATCTCGATTTCAGCCATCAACTGCCTTCTGATATTTGGTCTACGGGGGATTTCATCGGTTAACTGACACGTAGTCTTCCTGTATTGGTGATCATAGTCAACCGCGACTCGACACCACACTACAAGTGAATGCAAGTATAACTGCTCTATTATGTCCCAACTTGTATATTACAGGAATTTGGAAAAACGTGAAATCCAAATGACATAATTATTTTACATGACTTACATAATATTTTACTTAGTACTGTAGATTTATTTAGTTCTAATAACTTTGAAATACTTTTTAATTAGAGTTATCTGTTTATTCGCAGGTAAAAAAAACTATCTGTAAATCTGATATATATATATTTGTTGTTTGAATATTTCCAGTTGTTTAGGACTGCAGTTAATCAGTCTTATTTTTGGCATATATGCATTCTATGAGAATTGCCTCGATATTTCCATTAATTCACAAGCATTTCAAGCAGAGATGGAGCCAGAGATGCACGTTTCGTTCAATTTGAGATTCAATAGCTAAGTGGATAACGCGTTATCGTTTGAAGCGAAATGTACTGGTTCCAGAGTGAACATCAACTATGGAATGCAAGTACATCTAACTGACGAGTCTCAAACAGGGCGGACCACATTTCCCAAATTCCACTGATGGCAACGATCCATCTATGTTCAAATATCTATAAATTTATCTAGCTTGTATACTACTGCCACACATGTTTCGAAAAATGATTGTTAACCTGTCCTATTCTATTTGGATTACTTTATAATAACAATATCCTTTTCCTAAACTTCAAAACATCCCAGAATGCCATGAATGATTAAAATGATCATTATTTCAATTCGATTACCCCACTACAAGGCTACTTTTGCATACATATACATCGTCTTAATATGTGGATAAATTATTTTCCAGATACCTTGAAGGAATTCCGTACCTTATTACTATTATTATTGATAGACATAAAATAGCGTGAGTACTACAAGATGCTTTATATTTTATAGATTGTATTAATGTATACATAAATGTTGACGAAATTGATTCAAAATTACTGTGGGGAATGTTGGATTTCAATAAGGTTGATTACAAAATAAATGACCTTTTCAATATCAATCATCTTGACTTTTACCTGCTAAAAAAGGTTAAAAAATAGTGATTGAACATAGATATCTGTGAATACTAAGTTTATAGCAGTTAAATTTGTTTAAGAGGAAACTAAGATAAACATGGTAACTTAAAACAATTAGTCCCTTTGATAAATTTCGATAATGTAATAAGAAGACGAAGATTATCGGAACTATGTGATATATTAGCGCAATACATAGTTCCGATAATCTTCGTCTTCTTATTACATTATCGAAACATGGTAACATTTCAAACTTAGTCACACTGGTTTTTGTAAAACATAGATTAACAATTGGAACCTTGAAGTGGTCTGATTATATTCACATTTGTCTAATATTCTGATTTGTATTTTTATTTGAGTAGTTAATTTCTCTCTAGCTCTCTCATAACCGCAAGTGTTATAAACACTTTCTTTGGTCAGTTATAACAAAGTCCCAGTGCACATTGCAATGTAATGAGGTTTTCTTCCCGTAACTTTAATTACTTTAAATACTTGCGAAATTCTAAAATGACAGTGATATTGAGCTTCGGAAAACAAAAGATGAGAGCATAACGCTGTTATGACTTACACCCTGTCACTTATCACGTGAAAAAGTCGCCAATCAGTTTATAGACTCCTGTGACCTCGTCCCTGTGCTTAACTAATAAAACATCAACCAGCATTAGCAGTCTTGAGTTAACTCTGAGTCCTTACTAGTCCTCTGTATAGTAACTTCTCAACTAGCCCATCCAATCCAAACATAAATATCAGCCTCCGCTATATGAATCGTATATTTTAGATATACGTGGTTTATACACAACCAGATCAAGCAGAGTCACATCATAAAATGGAAAACAATAATCGTACAAGACCAAACCAAAGGTAGCTATGAGTACAGGAGAGTGTAATAGATTAGGAATGGTAAATCATAGAACAGTAGTCAATAGATCACATGAAAGCTTATGATAGAAGGAATACGAATATGTATAACCTAATTACTTAACAATTATCCAATGAGAATATATGTAATAATAGTCCATAAGTAATTCCTAGCATCTACCATCCATCTATTCTTCGTTCGGATGTAGCAAACACAGTTGGAATTCCTCATTATATATCCTTATTTCTAGATTATATGACATTTAGGTTTCTATTTAGTTAATTATTTCGATGGCTTTTTTTCATTTTATAGAGACCAACTGTTTACGCTGACAGACTTATATCTCCTCTTGTTCTCTTGATTTCTCGAGTCTTTATATTGTCTGATTACACAACCGAGAATGCCGACCCCGATAACAGTACACTCTTAGGATATGATAATCCCCGAGTATCAGAGGCGAAGTAAATTAGCATATGCTTTTTAGTTCATTTGACAACAATGATAAGCAAATGTACTTTAACTTCGAGCAAATCAACACACCGTTCAGTTGTAATACCTTATATATGAAACTAACCATTGATTTCCTTTTCTTCAAATAGATATGACAAAAAAAGTAAATATTCATCACCTGAAGAGAATGTACTTCCTGAGACAACGCCGTGGTAACTACTAATCCTTACTTATGCCTGTTACTCCCAATGGAGCATAGGCCGTAGGTCCCACAATAGGACGAAACGGCCGTCCAGTGCTTCCAGGTTTTCAATTGTGATGGTCTAACATCAATTGGTTCAAGATCTCAATCATACAATTGTCTCATGTTTTCTTCTCTTGCAGCCTTTTCCGCCGCCGTTGCTAAATCTTCCACATATTTACGTTTGTCGGTTCTGATGCTCCTCTTCACTTGTTTGTTTACTTCTGTGTATTCAGCTTGTGCCTTGGCTTTTTCTGCTCTTGTTCGGCTGGTATTGATTGCTGCCTTCTTGTTCCTCCTTTCTTGAATCTTATGCAGTGTATCAACAGTGATCCATTCCTTGTGATAGTGTTTCTTGTGGTTTAGAACCTCATGGCATGTTGAAGTGATTGCTTCTTTGATCCCCTTTCAGTTTCTCTCCATAGTAGTTCCTTCTCCATTGAGTAGATCATGAAAGGCCTGGAACTTGTTGCTGAGGACTATTTTGAATTTGTTGAGTTAGTATCCTGAAGAAAGGCCGTATTGAACTTTTGTGATATTGTCCGCCCCATTGTCCAGTGCTTCTTGAGTTTCAATTTCATCTTGGCGACCAGCAAGTGATGATCTGATGCTATATCAGCTCCTTTCTTGGTTCTCACGTCCTCTATAGTCCTCCTGAACGCTTTGTTGATGCAAATATGGTCGATTTGGTTTTGTGTAGAGTGATCCGGTGAAGTCCTAACTACTAATCCACAATGCTGAAATTCTGATATTAGGTAAGCACGTAAGGAGCTTAAAGAGTGTAGTGTTGGTTGCTATGTCAAGCACATACAGTTTATCCTAGCTTTCGGACAGACCAGTTTATTCATTTTCTCGAGTCACATTTTGATCTTGCTGATTATTCGCTAATCAATCTTGGTTGTTTTTATGTGAGCGTGTGTGTGCATTTCTTATCTTACTCATCACATGTCTATAGCCTATTTTTGTCTGACCATAAATATCGATTCATGCTTAATTCAATGGAGCTGGCTCACTCGCCTCCTTCAGTAAGTGCCATTTAGTTTCACTTCTCTCTCTCCTATTTGCTCCATCTCCTTGTCTGTTCCGATCAATGATTGTACGAAACATATGCATTCAAAGAATTCATTCTCGTATTTGACTTATTTAGTCCCATTATTCACCAACGCGATTTAAGTCGATAATTATATACGAAAATTGACATGTATACTTCAATAACGATCATTCGTCCGACCTACCTGGAGTTAGATATACGGCCACAAAAACAGTAGTCACAGCGGAGATTTATAAACAAATAGTAAGCGGTGAAACCATCTGAATTACTGGGTTAGCGCTTACGTATACTATGGTTAGTTAGCATAACTACTGAGACTAGAAGGGGAATGTTTACCTTATTACACCCAAGTCTGGTCTGTCAAACTAAAGGTCTTCCTCTATGTCAAGATTGACAAAAACCAGCACTTGGCCCGCTTGTTATTGTAGTAACTCAACTCGTGTTACTGGTTTTTCACACCCCTAATTATTTCAAATTTCTCAAGAATGTATATGTTGACTTTTAGCCACATAGCCCAAATCTATTTTATTTGGTACTATATATACGGTAATGCTTAGTCATGTAGTCATTCTTTGTTCAAGTCATGAAATCTCACCTGATTTCTGGTTTTCCCTTCAATGGGTTGTCGACATTGATGTATTGCTGTGGTTTATTTATCTGGTCTATCTAGTTCGCGCAGATTCCATCCGTATAAGGAGTATCCCTTAATCGTTCTTACTTATAGAATAATCCTATATACTTCTCAATTTGTGAAACCATACAAACTATTAGTACTTAGTCTTTTGTTCAAGTTTTTGAGGGCAAATTACCTGAGCTTAATCCTAGAACAATGACATTCAAACGTACTTTCTAAATAATTTCTAACCGCATTAGAGAGATACAACTAGTCATGTTTTAACCAAGGAATACCTGCGGTTAACTTCGCCTCAAACGTTGAGACGGTATGGATATCCCACTTCAAATTGACCATGATTATGAAGGATACATATATTACAACATTACTTACTACATTTTATCACAATGGCAGTAGTTATGATTTTGCTGGACGACGTAAACGTACCTTTTTTTACCAAAATTATCATCTTAAGTTCATAAAACGGAGTGTTGTATGACCTACAATGCCCTTATTTCAGTTTGACTTTCGTATTCATTCCACATATTTTTGATTAGTGTTTAGTTACTCAAGCCTCCCGACCGTAGCTGCTACCTTGACGCGGTGGTCGGGCTTGCCTATCGTGATGACCCAACCGAGCTATATTGGCTGGAACATATGTTCCTGTAGGTTCTACCATGCCAGGCAGGTCGATTGGAGAACGGTAAGACTAAAAGCAGCAAATCAAGGTCTGAGGGCGAAGTCGTACTGCTGACTGTACAGACGTGTGACAGCAGTAAGGCGTTTCCCCCAGACAACCAGCATCTGCAGCGATGCTGCCTTCCCACAAGGAGGGATGAGGTTAGAAAAGTTCGACCCTAAAAATGTCACACCTCACCTTACCCCACGGATTTCCGTCTCCTGCGGTAAGGCCCTTTGAAGAACGGAGCTAACACATTAAAAACCTGCTACGAAAATGCCGTGCGCGACCGGCCCCAAGCAGTTTTCCCTCGGGCTCTGCGGTCACGCTCCCAGGTCGTTAAGACCAACACTAATCCAATTCCCTTTTCAGGTTCCTCAAGAAGTACCCTTCCACGGTGTGGGCAGCCGGGAAAAGACATCAACCCTCATACCCGTAACAGCACAAGAGACCAAGGTGGTCACATTCAAATCCTTCCTACACCTCCTAATAACTCTCTTATCTCCACGACTAGCCCTTCTCACGTCCCTTTATCACTTCGCACCGCTAGGGAAAACGATTCGAGTACGCGGAACGTTATTCCTGGTCTCCTGAAACCACGCTCTAAACTGGACGTAGGAGCTTTCAGCATCCAAACACTGTGCCAAATAGGACAACAGGCTTCCTTAGCTAGGACTTCAGAATCTCGCGCCATCGATATATGCTGCATGTCCGAAACGCGCATACAGGATCCGAGTAGCGTCAATCATTTGACCTCACCATGCCAAAATAAAGAACCAACTCGATTTACGCTTCGTGTATCTGGAAGCCCTGATTCTGCTTCCTGTGGCCTCGCCGGCGTAGGTATAGCGTTGAGTCCTAGAGCAGAACTAGCTCTCTTAGAGTGGATCCCAGTAGACAGCCGTTTGTGCGCTGTCCGACTGAACGGAACAGTAAGAATCCGGAAAGATAGGGACACTTGTCGTTGCCTCTTCGTCGTCTATGCCTATTCTCCCACTGACTGCAGCTCAGACGATGTAAAAGATGAGTTTTACAGAAAGCTTCCTGACCTTCTCTGAAAAGCTAGGCGCTTTGATGTAGTAATAGTGGCTGGTGACTTTAATGCTCAAGTAGGTAAATTAAGCGAAAGGGAAAGACATATGGGTGGATCTTATGGTGTTGTGGCTTAAAGAACAGATAATGGCGACCGTCTGTTGCAGCTATGCTCAGATAACCGCCTGTTTCTTGCAAACACTAACTTTAAGCACAAGGAAAAACATGTTTTGACATGGCCATCCCCGAATTCGTCCCAATGTTGAACCCAAATAGATCACATCGCTATCAGTCATCGATGGAGGGGCTCGATAGAAGACTGTCGCTCATTCTGGAGCACATGCTTAGACGCAGATCATACTCTAGTGTGAGCGCGTATTTTTCTGCCTCTTACTGGACGTAAGAAAGATGATGCAAGGAAACCTCTTAGGGTCTTACTTAATAATAGTCAAGCTAAGAGTATATTTCAGGAACAACTAGAAAAAGTTGATCCCCTCTTGGGTAAAACCATTAGAAGGATCAATGAACACTGATTATTAGGTCGACGAATTTGCAGCATATGGTAGTAGTACTATCACAACTACTAAATGGTTTATCTCACCCAACTTTACCGAGGAATCCAGCGCACATCTAACCACAAATAAATAAAAGAACTAACGTCAATTTAATGACTAACACGAAGTATTTATTTACAAAATTCTTACCGACCAGAAAAGTCACGAAATATCATCAGTGAAACCACAAAGAAAAAACATAGTCAGTAGAGATCATTTTGTCTATTCCAAGCAAACGAACAAGAGCTTAGTTTATAATGTTCCATTTACGACCTGGAAAAAAACAAATAGTATTGAAACGCAAAAGCTATTTAACCTTTATACAGACCAGAATAAAACAAGGGTGAAATATTCACGGTAACCTAACACTAATATGTACTACGTTTTTACGCTTACATCAAGGGAAAATTAACGACGAAGCCGTAATATATATATATATCGGCGAGACTCTAATTTAGGGACGAGCCAATCAGAAGCGTTTGAGCAATCTCAGGGTCACGGAGCCAAGTTCAACACGCGCTGCTAACATACGATCGGTTCACAGCGGATTTTAGAGAGTAGGTGATTAATGAGAGGTTACAACAGATAGGACGGCGAGACGAGCCAATCAGAAGCGTTTGAGCAATTTCAATTATTAGTCAATCAGAAGACAGCATAAAGTAAAAATATATTAAAAGAAAGTAATAAATTACAGTGGATATTCTTCTTTGACATGATTTAAAAACTCGTATGTTAGCATCCTAACCCTCATCTAACTCTAACCCTAAACCCTAACCCTCAACTAACCCTAACCCTAAACCCTCACCTAACCCTAAACCTTAACCCTCAACTAACCCTAAACCCTCACCCAACCCTAACCTTAACCCTAACCCACCCTAAACCCTCAACTAACCCTAACCCTAAACCCTCACCTAACCCTAACCCTTAACCCTCACCTAACCCTAACCCTTAACCCTCACCTAACCCTAACTCACCCTAAACCCTAACCCTTAAACCTAAACCCTCACCTAAACCTTAACCCTCAACTGACCCTAACCTTAACCCTCACCTAACCCTAAACCTTAACCCTCAACTAACCCTAACCCTAACGAGTTTCTATTCCATATGCATTGTGAATTCAGAACCTCTGAACCTTAACAAAACCTTAACAAGTTTTTAAATCATGTAAAAGAAGAATCTACACTGTAATTCATTACTTTCATATAATATATTTTCACTTTATACTAACTTTCTTCTGATTGACTAATAGTTGTCAAGGTCACTTAAGATTCGTTCAAAGGTCGTCCTTAAATTAGAGTCTCGCCTATATATCAATACAAGACTCGAATGGATATGAAGCAAAGAAATGTATGCAACCTAAGGGATATTGGTAGTCTCAAGACCTAGTAGAAAACTAGTGCAGATGAGTTACATCGACTGAATTTGAATTATATCTAAACTCTGGTGATAAATAAGTATACAAGCAGGTATGAACATATGAAATGATTTACAAAGTGATTACATTACCTCAAAATACCTATCAGCAGTGTGGACATATACGTTAACATTGGAAAAACACTAACTTGAAACCAGATCTCGCAAAAATGGTTATTTGAAAAACCCTGAAAAGATATATGGTACCATGTAAGCCATTCCAGTACCCTGGGGGAACTTCCCCATAACGAACCAGAAAACTGTATTCCTTATCTATATATTTCAATGAGATAAAACTTACGATCTAAAGGATTTTGCTGGTACACTAAGCCAGTTAGGCTACAATAAAACAAAACTCGAGCAAATATTGGGCGAGAAATGAGACTACTTTCTCTGCTTTGGTTAAACCGTTAAAATACATCTGAAATTCTTTGAGAAATTTAGACCGACTGTAAGGGGAGCTTTTCTGAATAAATATTTTGAGTCAAGTGGCTGCTGATCATATATTAACTACGTTTTAACCAAGACAGTTTGAATCAACATAAATGAGCTGGTTACCCGACAAGTGCATTTGCTAATGACATGGTATCATCAGGTTTTTACTTTCATCAATGGGATTCCTGAGAACATACTTGAATGGAATTCACCAAATAGTCCGACCCCCGGTGATATTAGTGAACCTAGGGTTAAATGAGGAAATTTAGCTTGACTTACATAGGAATACTGTCTGGTACGAGGCTGGGTTCAGGAGATGCATAGTCCTGAAGAGACAATGGTAGAACAGGGAGAGATATGTGACATTCTATGTTTACGGAGTCGTCTCTGTTTCTTCAGGAAAATTAGCGTAATGAGAATATTACTGCAGAATTACATTTGTATTTGAAAGTCCTCTTCTTCATTCAGAATGGACGCTACCTCGCAGACTATTGAGCATGGCTTAGTCACTACTGAAGCGTACTCAACTGGAAGTGAACTCAAAGGTTCTACTTGTACACAGCATGCTGTTAGAGGGATAAAATGACCAGCGTCAGTAAATTTTGTGGGGGCTACGAGAAATTATTTTCATGTATGTACGATTACCAAGAGCAGACAAACTTCGACACCTTCCTTTCATGGGTGACTTTTTCATACATGAAACTCGACTATAGCTTTTTGACGGTGAGAACTTATCCTGAGTAGTTAACCCATACCTGACCATAACCGTCCGGACCTTAAGTATCCCGCCACGGCCCAAGGGCGGAGGTACAAGACGTTTAAATTGGCATGCCTTTCAATTATCATTAATAAGGATGGGAGGTCTATCGACCTATATTAATCCTTGCAGTATGTGGCACTGAAAAGGTCCAATCTTGTTTCGAATATATCAACAGAATGTGCCGATATTACGTGTTCCGGTAGAGACTTTCAGTAAGCTGAGAAATGAAACCCCAGAAGTTAACGATTTGATCTGGGATTTTGAAATTTCTTCCAATGTCCTCTTAAATGATCAGCTCTAGACGGAAGGAAAAGATAAGACATATTATTACCATGGTCATCGTTCACTATACAATAATCCCATGTTGGATCACTCCCTATTCTACGGTAAGATAATCGAAACTAGATGAGGGGTTGTAGATCACCAACGTAGATGATCTATGTCGAAATGATTGGAGGCCTACTCGACTTAGACGTGAATAGTGTGACGAACCAACTAACGTCGAAGTCACACCTCGTGGTCAGCACCTTACGTGGACTACCCCCATTGACGTATCAAGGTACTATAGATGCTTTGAAGACTGTACAACACAAAGGACGTTATTACAGAAATATGTTAGTTAAAGTAGATACAAGCGAAAGCAAGACCACTGCCGCATGGGCCAGTCCATGGCGTATGATTAACTAATGCGCGTTTGTTGTACATGACCTTGGCAGGGAGCGATGATCTGTTCGACATTCAGTGATCCAACTGCCGGATGATTTGGCTAGGGCTCAGTGACATTTCACTGGCCCTACAATACTCTCCCACCAGATTCAACGGCCGTTTGAATCGGTACCAAACATGTTGGGAGCAGTCGCGCGCCGGAGAGTGCCAAACGAATATTATAAATTCTCCAGGTATTGCTTATCTGTAAAACAAATGGAAAGGAGGCGGCAGAAACTGGTCGGGAAACAGCGAGTCATAATATGTTAGTAGGACGTTGGTTAAACGTAAAGCTATTAACCATAGAAATAATGAAAAGAACAAAACGTTTTATTGTTCTATCAAGTCGCGCTGAAATATATAGCCTTGACAAGTAATTCAGTTCCTCCGATGACAAACGTTAAGTCTACCGCAAGAGTAATGATGCTATAGCGATAGTAGGATAAGTGTATTATCAATCGATATCCATATTTGTACTGTCATTAGTTTAAAGTTGTAAGTCGGACAGTGTCGTTGACAGCTATTAATTAGTGTCGAATTCTAGTTATATCTATATCTAACAGACTAACCGTAAGTACAGAAGTATAATAGTGAAGAGTGGTCGTTATTTCGTTGTGCGAAGCTATTGACGAACTTGTAGTCACAGTTTGAAAAGTCGATGACTGCTGTTACAGTCAGAAAAATATCGAAAAGAACATAAGAAACCAAGAGTGTCACTCTGGACTCATGTCAATGATACTCGTGAAAAACGCTGTCAGTGTTGGGATAGAGGCGACAATATCGTTTTCAGTTTGCAGGAGGTTCGCTCGACTGCACAAACTGATGATTCGCGCGAATGATATTGTCGTCAGACCGCCAATTGAACTGGACAGGTTGTAAATCGTCGAGTAGTTGAACAGCCGATTGATGTACCGGAATCATCTGTTAAATAACAGCCACGAGGAAACAATACTTCATAAAATGAAGTACGACATCGAAGTAGAACAACTACAAAAGTTCAGATGTGTTACAATGTCAAGTCTAAATAACATCGTTCTTACGTATACTGACAGTTGCACTGAACGTTCGCTTAGGTATGATTAGCGTAACAATTGGATGTGTGAATAAAAACATATACGAAAACTATGGTTGGGTTCGTGGAGAATTTTCGAGGACGTTTAGATATTTTCCAAACTCGTATCGCATGTAAATAAACCGAAAATAGAATTAAAATGACTGTCGTGTAATAAGGAAATCGAGCCATGATTTACCGTGTGAATTATTAGCAAATACAAGGGGTATAATAAACATTAAATAAAATGGTAACCACCAATGTAACTAAGGTTTAGAGGGTCCAGGTAACGTGGCCATTTCGTAAAAGGCTGATACAAAGAGCTTATTACCTAGCGTCAAGTAACATATTAAGTACGACATGTGCACTTGGGACATGGACTAAGCGTGGTCGTGTACATGCAATATGTTTTACCACAGTATGTCGACTAACGAGTCATAAATGTACATGATTTCGACTAAAACTTGACGGCAGTGACAGAATATATGACTAGTTTACGTGAAAACAACTACGAAATGTTATCACGCATCATAAATATAGTACGAAATAATCTAATGAAATTATGAAACTCGCCTGGGTTACTCTTGCCTTTAAGTAATGAAGTAGGCAGCAGTTTGAATCTGGATTATGTACGAGGTACTGTTGATTAAATTTTTCGATTAACACAGTGTTGTAGACTGAATTTGTATAAGTTCAGAATTAATGTAAGCCGAATACACAGCATTACCTGAAGAACAGTCTAAACGAGATCTAAGATCGCAGGAAATTTATAGTTCAAACTCACCGTGAATTTCTAGCATTCGTATCCTCTGTTTGGCCATGGAACTCAGCAATTGGAAATTAGGCAGGCAGTGGTAAAAAAAAAGCAGAACATTCTAGTGGATAGTGGTTAAGCAGAAACATGAATTTATAGTCGATAGTTAATCTTGTCTTATTTATACCAGTTACAAACAGATGTGCGTTCGTGTTGCCTTGTGGCTATACTCACGAGTGGTTGATATTTTAACAGACATATTACACAGGAGCATTTACATGCTGCTAATGCTTGTTAAAGAACCACGATAGCCGATTATAATCGTAGTTGATTGGTTAGTTCTGTCGATTGAACGAATTATTTAGGTTTAAATGCTAATCAACATTGACATGAAGCAACGAAAGTTCACAGTAACAGATTAACATAGGCGATGATAAAAATGAAAAAGAATAAGTATAGAATACAATAATAAAGATTATAGTGATAGGTTGCGTTGTTCGAAGTCTTGCTCACCAGTGTAGATCACCAACGTAGATGATCTATGTCGAAATGATTGGAGGCCTACTCGACTTAGACGTGAATAGTGTGACGAACCAACTAACGTCGAAGTCACGCCTCGTGGTCAGCACCTTACGTGGACTACCCCCATTGACGTATCAAGGTACTATAGATGCTTTGAAGACTGTACAACACAAAGGACGTTATTACAGAAATATGTTAGTTAAAGTAGATACAAGCGAAAGCAAGACCACTGCCGCATGGGCCAGTCCATGGCGTATGATTAACTAATGCGCGTTTGTTGTACATGACCTTGGCAGGGAGCGATGATCTGTTCGACATTCAGTGATCCAACTGCCGGATGATTTGGCTAGGGCTCAGTGACATTTCTCTGGCCCTACAGTGTCTTAGGCCTTTATACATCTCAGTCCCTCGTCGTTGAACTCGTTCCATTATATACGCCTCATACTTGAAACTAGGACTCACTGCTTGAATCAATTATCCAAAATGTGGTCTCATGTGTGTTGGTATATTACTCTAGATGTTTCATCATACGAATACTGGAAAGACCTACGAATCGACCATAACAGCCCATAGCCTATTACAGCAGCAGCTTTACAGTGACTGGTAGTTTTCAGCTCACTACTTTTTATGACTTAAATTTCTATGGTTTCTTACTTTGGTTAACACGAATCCACATATTGCGTTGAAATATGATTCACCATAGTTATTTGATTGCATCACCACAAACTTGTCAAAATTTGTCTTGAAATGAAGTGTGTGTGGAACAATATGAATGTTAAGTTCAGCACGATCTCTTCTTCATGTCTAGTCATTATACAGTAGCAAACAAATCATCAAAACGAATAGTTCTATAAGTCTGCGACACTTGATGCTGACCTCATTAGTTTTACTGAACACACGTAGCTGAAGACGTTCCGTCACTCATCTGTACCAGATCACCAGTTGTTACGCCGTGTTACACATCCCTTTCAACTGCTAGTCAGCTTGAACTAAACACTTCTCGACAATTCAACAACCTTCTAAATATTTCTTTCAACCACTTCATCTCTGACTTCTGACTTGGTTGGTATACTTCCATTATTAAAGCGTTACGTGTAAAACCATTATCAAATTCCGATCAAACAATCATCTACGTATGTGTGTATGCAGTCGACTGAACAATCTAGAATAGCCTCTGCTTTGCTTTTCAGAGGGTGGATTCCTCGAGCATCAGTAGTGTGTCCGAGAAAATCTAAAAAGTCGTTTCCGGTTTGACACTTCTGAGTGTTTACAGTAATTCCCTGTTTTCGCAGTCGTTCGAAAATAAAGTACGGATGCTGCATATGAGGTTCTCTGTTTGGACATGCGCAAGCCGTCATCTAAGTATATGTGTACGTAGTTGAGACCCTGGAAATATCGTCGATGAATTGCTGAAAGTCTGTGAAGCATATCTCTAAACGGTAAGGCGTGCTCAAAATTTTGTAGTGTTCGGATGGTGGTAATGTTAGTGGCCTAAGGAATATCGTCTGAAGCAGTGGTAATTTGATATGATTTGACCGAAAAACAGTTGTACCATTTCTGGTTACTGTCAGGTTGAGGATGTACGCAAGTGGTAACAATCGTATTCAGTCGCCGATAGTCACCAAGTAGACGGCAAGCTTTCGAAAGAACAAGTGGTTCTCTGGCTGCGATGTTTTGTGTAATATCGCTAGTTCTTGAAGGTAACTTCAGTTGCGTTTGAAATAGTTTGTGGTACTTACTGAGGATCCATTGGTAGAATCGGTTGGTCACATGCCAAACATTTACTGGGTACGATATACAGCCAGAAATTAAAGTCCCATAAACAGATAACATAGTGTTGTCGTCTACTAACCATTGTTTGCTAGGGTCGACGAGTTACTTATGGTGTTGTAGTAGGTCTATACCAGTGACTGACATAGAAACACCTAAAAAACGAAAATTCAGTGAATAGGTTTGCGTAAACTTACGCTTAAATGCTCATTCCACTTGTCGTATGTGGCAATCGGTTTCCCATTTGCCTTC